CCTGACATGTCTGAAAAGATAAAAGCCAAGGTAATGAAGCAGTTTGATGCAGGTTTTCTGGATATCACATCCTATCCTTAATGGGTTGCAAATGTGGTCCCCGTACCAAAGAAGGACGGAAAGGTTCACGTGTGTGTGGATTATAGAGATCTGAATAGGGCAAGCCCCAAGGATGATTTTCCTCTACCACATATCGATGTCTTGGTTGACAACACCGCTCAACACAAAGTCTTCTCCTTCATGGATGGATTTTCTGGCTACAACTAAATCAAGATGGCTCCTGAAGACATGGAAAATACCACCTTTGTTACATAATGGGGCACCTTTTGCTACAAGGTTATGCCTTTCGGACTAAAGAATGCAGGGGCAACATATCAAAGGGCTATGGTAGCTTTATTTCATGATATGATTCATCATGAAATAGAAGTCTATGTCGATGATATGATTGCAAGATCACAAACTGAGGAAGAACATATGGATCACCTACACAAGCTATTTGAGAGGATGAAGAAGTATAAATTAAGGTTGAACCCTAATAAGTGCACATTCAGAGTAAGATCTAGAAAACTTCTAGGTTTCGTCGTTAGTGGTAAAGGCATCGAAGTTGATCCTGCAAAGGTAAAAGCCATTCAAGAAATTCCAGTCCCCCATTCTGAAAAGGAGATTAGAGGATTCTTGGGTCGTCTTAATTACATTTCTCGTTTCATATCTCACTTGACTGCTACTTGTGAGCCAATCTTTAAACTCTTTAAGAAAGATCAAGTAGTCAAATGGAACGATGACTGTCAAGCTGCCTTCGACAAAATCAAGGAATATTTGCAAGAGCCTCCTATCCTCATGCCTCCAGTTGAAGGAAGACCTTTGATCATGTACTTGATTATGCTAGAGAATTCTATGGGATATGTGTTGGGCCAACATGACGAGTCTGGCTGAAAAGAGCATGCAATATACTACCTGAGCAAAAAGTTTACCAACTGTGAAACTATATATTCACTGCTTAAGAAAACTCGTTGCGCTCTGGCATGGGCTGCTCGCTGACTAAGATAGTATATGTTGACTTACACCACTCTATTGATTTCTAAAATGGACCCTATCAAGTACATCTTTGAGAAGCCCGCTCTCTCCGGACGAATAGCTAGATGGAAAATGATTCTGACTGAATACGATATTCAATATACAACACAAAAAGCCATCAAAGGAAGTATATTGGAAGATCATTTGGCCCATCAAGCTATGGATGATTATCAATCTATGAACTTTGACTTCCCAGATGAAAATATCATGCTAGTGACCGACTGTGCAAAACCTGGACCATGTGACGAACCTGAACAAGGATCCCGATAGACTATGGTTTTTGACGGGTCTTCCAACACTTTGAGCAATGGAGTTGGTGTTGTGATTATTTCTCCTGAGGGTTGCCACACTCCTTTCACTGCAAGATTATGCTTTGATTGTACGAACAATATGGCCGAATATGAAGCATGTATCTTGGGTCTAAAGGCTGCCATCGACTTGAGGATCAAACATTTGGATGTATTCAGAGACTCTGCTATGGTGATCAGCCAAGTAAAGGTAGAATGGGACACCAAGTATCCTAACCTAATTCCATACAAGGAGCTTGTGTTAACTCTGATTCCATACTTCGAGGAGATCACTTTTGAGCATTTCCCTAGGGAGGAAAATTAGTTAGGCGATGCTTTGGCCATAATGTCTTCCATGTTTAAGGTCAAATGGGACAACGAAGCTCCTATGATTACAATTGAGAGATTTGACAAACCCGCGCATTGCTACGAGCTTGACATTGATGAAGAGAAACCATGGTACCATGAGGTGAGGAGATATCTTGAAGCACAAGGATATCCTAAAGGAGCTTCCGTCAATGATAGGAAATTCTTGCGAAGATTTTCAGCCCAATTCTTTCTAAGCAACGGAATCCTATACAAGCGCAACCATGATTCTACTCTACTCCGATGTGTGGACAAGAAGGAGGCAGAGAAAATTATGGAAGACATGCACGATGGCCTCATTGGGACCCACTCTAGTGGATATACTATGGCCAAGAAAATCCTGAGGGCTGGTTATTATTGGTCCATAATGGAAACTGATTGTCATCACCACTCAAGGACTTGCCTTAAGTGTCAAATCTATGCTGACAAGGTTCATGTACCTCTCATTCCTCTTAATGTCATGACTGCTCTGTGGCTGTTTGCAATGTGGGGCATTGACATGATTGGAGAGATCAAACCTACCGCTTCAAATGGTCATCGTTTCATCCCGGTTGTTATTGATTACTTTACCAAGTGGGTCGAAGTTGCTTCATATGCCTCAGTTACCAAGAACGTTGTAGCCAAGTTCATCAAGCATAATCTCATCTTCCGGTACGGTATCTCCAAAAGGATTATCATCGATAATAGAACTAATCTGAATAATGCTATGATCACGAAACTCTACGCTCAGTTCAAAATCAAGCATCACAATTCTTCTCCGTACAGACCCAAGATGAACGATGCAGTGGAAGCTGCCAATAAAAATATCAAGAAGATTGTGTAAAAGATGGTGGTAACCTACAAAGACTTGCATGAGATGTTGTCGTTTGCTCTCCATGGCTATCGTACTTCGGCTCGCATGTCAACTGGGGAAACACCTTTCTCCTTGGTATATTGCATGGAAGTCGTTTTGCCTGTAGAAGTTCAAATTCCCTCCCTAAGGATAATGAAAGAAGAAGGTCTAGGCAAAGACGAATGGATTCAGACTAGGTTGGATCAGCTGAACTTGATTAACAAGAAGCAACTGGCTGCTGTTTGCCATGGTTAGATGTATCAAAAGCGTATGATCAAGGCGCTCAACAAAAAGATCAATCCTCGAGTATATCAAGCTAGTGGTTTGGTAATAAAGCGTATAATTCTTCCCTAAGGCGACCCCAGGGGCAAATGGAATCCTACTTACGAAGGACCGTTTGTTCTAAAGAAAGTTTTCTCTGGTGGTGCCATGATGCTGACTACTATGGATGACGAAGATTTCCCACATCTCGTAAATGCGGACATAGTTAAAAAATACTACGCATAAAATGACCCACTAGGTTGACACACCTAGGCAAAATTTGGGCATCCTGGTGAATCAAAGAGGTTCGGGAAAAAGTTAGGGATATATACAAAAGATTGTACACCCGAAAAGTCGAAAACATGAAAGGGAGACTTGGGTAAAAATGGGTATCCTGGTGTGCTGAAAACCCGAAAGGGCGGTCCAGACAAAAATTAAGGATTAAAGCGTATGACTATGTTCCGTGGGGTCTCTACAACTAACTTTATTATCAAAATCTGAAGTTTCAAATGGTCCAAAATCAATCCCATCAACGGAAAGGGTTCGCTCGAAGACATAAAGGCAATGGCAAAGTAGGGGGCAATGAGATCATTTTCACATGGCTATTATTTTTGTTTTCGCTTTGTACACTTTTCGTTTCTGTTGACGATTTCCTCTTACTAGGATTTCTGTCTCCTTGTACAAAAAGCCTATTTATGGGCAAAGCATCAATACAAATATACTTTGAAGTACAAACTTTTTTGTTTTTTCTGTTTTTGAATGCGAAGATATCCAATGACTAAAATTGAATGAACATAATTAAACTTTTAACAAATATTGTTTCGAAACAGTGAGAAGCATATCCTTAATTGCATTTTGAGATATCCCAACAGAGTTATTTCATTAGCGTTATCTTCACAAGTTTGGATTCATAAACTCCCTAACCAGAGTCTCAATCTCCGGAAGATTCTCTCCTCAACTGAGTTGGTCTTAAAAGAGAGCCTTGAGAAAACTCTTCTTGAAGAATATCCTCCCCATCAGTTCATCCGATATCCTTTACAACAGGGTTTATTACCCCAACTAATGGCAAGATTCCCCAGTTTGAGTTTTCCTCTCTGAATACTACTAATCGAGGTACCACAACCCCTCTTCCCCGGTAGACTTTTCTACAATCCAGAGTAAGTTACTATAAAGCCTGCAATCCGACCAGATAACAGCTAACCTTCAAGGAATAATTCCTCACCAGAGTAATGGACGACTAGAAATCCTGAATTCTTTTCCCTAAGCAGAGATCAACACTCTCCACGGAGTCTTCTCAAAAATATTCCTCAGCAAAGTCTCTCCTCGAACAACAAACCAAGAATTCCCAACATAAACGCTCTAAACAAGGTTGAAGATACACATACTCTTCATCCCTAGCAACAGTCATGGATTTCGTTTCCCAAGGCTCACCAGCATTTTGTCCAGGATTTATTTTCCTAAACAAAGATACACTTCAATAACGTTTCACATTCATACATCAAATTTCATACATGATAAATGCATACAACATTATCTCATTTATTCTTAGAACATCATCAAGTCGTGCATACTTCTGCATGCAGCTAACCCTCTTCCTCGCAGGAAAGATTAATCAACAGACAAACATCATCAACTACTTATTTGATCCAATAGTCTTCTCAAAGGCTACATCTAACAAATGGCTATTTCAGCAATTTCCTCACAGGGTCATTTTCAAAGGCATCTTATGTGACCCAACAGTCTTCCAGTTCATTGTTTAAAACTCTTGTCCAAAACAAAAGAGTACATAATGAACTTGTCAAAAATAAAATAGTACACAATGAACTTGTCCAAAATAAAAGATTACATAATGAACTAAAAACCAGATATTTCATCGCATAAATTCATTGAGTCAAGCTCTTCTCAATGTCATTACAAGACTTCATCCCCTTAGAACTGCCAACATTTATGTCTTCTTCAAGAATCACAAGTGGATCGTCAGCTTGCTTCCTTGGTCCCACAATGTCACGTGCTTTCGATGTCCTAAGTTGGTCTCTCTTCCTTTTTGGAATTTCAACATGTTTGGCATTTTTCCTTGTTGGTATCAAACCTTTCACCTGTTATGACAGCATAATGTTACTAAACTAATTAACATAAAACAAAAAACACTATTAATTGGTATAAATTGGTAACCTATAGGATCACTCAAAGTTGGTTGTAAGTGGATGTTTGGTATTTTCCCTCTTGGTATCAATTGGTATTGCAGAGAGAACAGACTTTGGCACTTTTAATTTTGGACCAAAGAATATTCTGACAGTAGACTTATTCACATTAGGTTGTTTACCAATGAATGTTATGATAGTTAGCGTTGGCATGTCAGTTGGCATTGGGTTAACAACATCAAGTATTGGGTTAAGAGCATCAGGCATTGGGTTAACACTAGCATAATTCATGGCAGGAACATGTGGTTTTACAGGACTAGTGTCAATACTAAGTGGTTTAACATCCAGTATATATACATCATTCAACAGTGCTACCAAGGCATCAAGCTTTATCCCAAAAATACCGTCTTATAGCCTCATCAGAACATACAAAAACTTGTGTTGCATGTTGATTATAAATTGTTGCAGGAGTCTTATCAGATTGAGTAGAAGCCTAATCTGGTTGAGCAGTTGTCTTTGTCTTTTAACTTGGGCCTCCCTTCTTGGATATCCCTTTGGGCCTACCATGTAACATACATAATTTGAGACAAGAATACATACACAAATAATTTGTAAAAATTAAATTGTGTCAACATACACAAGAGTAATTAATGATACTAACCATATTCTTTGGTCATGTATTCATAGTTGTATTTTGGCTTCCTTGAGTAGGTGTTTCAACATCTTTGCAGTTCACCAGGAACAACAACAAGTTGTTTATTCTTCTTACATGTTCTGGTGGTGTGCCCATACATTAAGCATGTATTGCCCATGAGGCTTGTGTTTGATCTTTTCCATCTGGTTCCCTTCTTCTGAGTTTTTTTTGCCTTCTTGGACCCCTCTTGTAAAGTGGTGGCAAAACTTTTGGAGCTGGAATCTTAGGCCATTTCTTTTTCCCATTTATGGGTGTCACAACCTCATTGTATCATTTCAAGTATGTGTTCCTATGATAGAACATACTTACTGTTGTACCCCAAAATTTTCCCTCTCATTTTTCAAGAATTTTCTCACAAGCTTTCTGTTGGGTAAAGACTGTACAAGGTTGGATCAGTTCAAGATACTTCCTCAACACTGATGACTCAAAACTACAGTCTGAATTTACACAAGTACCATTGGATTTTTAATGCCCCCTGTGATTTCCAATTATTATGTTGGATTTCCAAGCATCAGGTCAAAAAGCAAACTTTTGAAAGAGCAAAGCAGATAAGTTTGATTTTTTGACAAAATTAAAAAAAAACAAGTTTGCTTCGATTCATGCTTAACTTCGACTGAACTCTCCCCTGCGTGCAAGCTTCGACTAAGTATTTGTTTTCCTTTGAAACAACAACCTTCGATTCAGGAGTCAAAGGCCTCTTGTTTAGCTTCCTTCAATTTAGAAAGTTGATTACCTACTGGCAGCTTCCTTCGATTCATGAGGCAAAGGCCTTTTTTTGTTTCCTTCGATTGCACCTTTTACCTCCTTTTGGCATCCTTCGATTTCAAAATTTATCTCTTGCATAAATCCTTCAATTGTACCATTTAGGACTCCTGCATGCATCTTTTGTTTAGGAAGGTGGCCTCCTTCGAATACAAGCTTTGGTTACATCCTTCGTTTGGGCGTGTAGCTTCCTTCAATACAAGCTTTGGTTACATTCTTAGTTTGGGCAGGTGGCCTCCTTCGAATACAAGCTTTGGTTACATCCTTCATTTGGGCGTTTGGCTTCTTTCAATGCATGTTTTGGTTACATTCTTCGTTTGGGCAAGTGAACCCTTCGAATGCAAGTTTGGGTTATATCCTCTGTTTGGGTATGAAGTTTCCTTCGATGAAAGTTTAATCCATAAGCTTCGTCTGTGAATATTGCTCCCTTCAAAGCAACATGCTTTGATACATTCCTAAAACCCTTCAAAACATAAGTGGAAAACAGAATTTTCAAAGGAACACTGATCAAATCCATAGTCCTTGCTACATGATCTTACTTTACAGGCCTCAATGCTTGTGTTTCACTCCATAATTAATTGTTTACATCATGAATTAAGTTATTATCCAGGTAATTAAGCCTTTGTCCAAAAGATTTGTTCATGAAAGTAAACTTGCTAGTACAAAATTTGTCTTAAGCCCATGCTTTACTTAAATCCTGATTATACTTCACCATAAGTCAGGGAAGTCATACCCTTTTAACCAACAACTTTAGTACTTCACCTTAGGATCATGGAAAATCTAACATAGCTTAATATTCACGTTTCAACCAAGCCATATTTTTGTTCAAACTCCCTAACCTTTTCTCTATAAATAGAGAAACCATTGACAAAGAAAAGGGCTAGATTTTTTATGTAGAGAAAAATCATCAAATCCTCAAACACTCTAAAACTCTCAAACTCTCAAACTCTCCAACATCCTTAAACCTTCAAAACTCTAAAACTTTCATAAAAAATCTCAGATCCCTTCATACAGTAGTGTACCTTTCGATTCATTCCCCTAAATTGTAGTATAATACAACCTTCAAGTCACTCCCCTAAACTGTAGTATAACAAAACCTTCGATTTCCTCATAGTTGTCAAATACCAACCTTTAGATTCAGGCAGAGAAGTGGTCCCATTAGCTTAAGGAAGGTTCCAACAAAGTTTAATCCACCACCAAGGAAGTCACATACAGCTCCTTCGATTGGAACTTCAAGAGGTAAGTTCCTCTAAACTTGGAACTTTTTATTTAAATATCATTTGTACATATAAATAAAAGAAAAATGTAGATATCATATCTAGGAAGTTGACCATGCTTTAGCTTTCGATTATCACTGCCATGTATAATTAGTCTTTGGATTTTGGTGCCAAATAAATTTGTGTTAACCATGGGCCTATAGCTTTCGAAAGTTACCTTTGTTAGGTTCATATCCAAACTTTAGGTAGGTTGTGTGTATCCTTCAATTGGCTGAACATGGAAACCTTTCGAATCTCAATTGGGGAAGATTTGCATTACTGCAATTGAAGGGGGGGAGTTAGGCACTTTATACGTTCAGAAACAAGTTTACCTTGTACCCATTCGAAGCTGTCTCATGAACGGGTGAAACAAACCAACCCGATGGTATAAACGGCGTGCGTGAAAAGCATTTCTATGTAGGGACCTGAGTTCAAACCTTAGTAGGACCAAAAACAGTTTTTGCCTTTTTGTTTGTGTTCTTTATCTTTTTTAACAAACTTCAAACATTTTTCAACCAATCAAAGCAACTCCTTTTGAGTTGAGTTTTTACACACTATTTATTTACAAGTTTTATTTCATGAATATATAAAAATATCACAAAAAAATATTTTATTTTCATAATTACTTTAATTAATCAAAACCTTTCCTTAACAAAAAAATCAAAACAAAGTTCATTTTCTTTTCATTTCAATTCTAGTACATTTATTCATATTCAATATGGTTGTAATAGATAATTAGAATTTTATTTCTTGCAATCCTTATTTATACATTTGTATCCTCATCCCCAAGTGATGTAATAGCGTAGTAAATTTATTTTCCGCAATTTACCGCTTTCATATAAACGTTAGTAATTAGGTTGTGTATGGCAAGATAAAATCAACAAGTAGACAATCCTAAATTTAAGACAAAAATGCATGCAATCAAACACACTTGCACACATGCATCTCTAGGGTTAACTCCACTTGTTGACTTGAGAAAATGGTTATAATATGCATGTGAGATGTCTTAACAAAAACAATCAAAAATACAAGATCATAGTCCCTCGATAACGCTTCGAATGTTGCCTTACAAATGATCTTAGTCCCTCAAGAGAAATGCTAAGATATCTCACAATATTGTTATTCATTACTATACAATAACCCACACCCATCCATTTTATATCTAAAGATAAGGCTTCTTACCAATCAATGGTAATATAGCAGTATCAAAGGAAGGAAGAAAGGAACAAAATGACTTTTGAGTAAGTAGAATGTTCTTAGTTTCTTGCTTGCAAATCAAAACCATTTCCACACTCACACTCTCAAAAACATCTTAAAAAAACAAACATCTCTTTGAACTATTTTCAAAAATTCCAACACTTTGTATGCATTCTTATAGAGACGAGAATCATTACAAAGTTTGCCTCAATGAAGGCGCTTTTCAAAAATACTTTCAAAATCCACCACAAAGCACATTTTCAAACAAAGTAAGTGATCTAGCAAGTAACTAAGAGCCCATAGATAACTATGGATAAAAGGGTGCTAATACCTTCCCTTTTTATAATCTACCCCCCGAACTCAAGAAATAATCTCAAAGGTATTTTCTACTCTTTTCACCCTTTCCTTATTGGATAAAAGAAAAGTCGGTGGCGACTCTTGCTATCCGCAACAATTGCAATCAAATGCAAAACACCCAAGTCAGTTCTCCCACCAAATTACACTTACATACTTGATCGAGTCATCAATTTTCTTATGGATAGCAGACACACCACGTCTACATGGAATCCCAACCAAGTCCCCAAAAGTTACATGAACAACTTTCTTTTGCTAAATCTACAACAAAACTATATGTGAACATCACATGTGTCACCTGAAAAGTTAGTCTATCTACATATTTTGGTAACCAGCTTGCACTTTTTTCTATCTCCCAATCTAATTTTTTGAGTGGTTTAGACAATATATCACCCTTGTAAGTTTCTACCTTTTCCCTAAGTGTTGCAAGCCTATCCATAAGGTAGTTCCTAATCCAGTCAAACATGGTTATAATGGGTTTGTCTCCATGCATAAATATAGTTGCATTAAATGATTCACTAAGGTTATTCATTAGAACATCACACTTAAAGTAGAATGGAAAGACATGCTTACACCATTTATGTTTTGGAATGGAATTCAACCACTCAAAATCATATAATATCCCCTCCTTAATTTGCATCATATTTGCATCATGTGTTTCATAATAGGTAGCCTTGGCTGCAACCATCATGCTATCTCTGAATAATGTCCCACCTCCAAACTTTTTTTTAAGTTAGTATATAAATGTCTTAAACAGAACTTGTGCTAATATGCAGGGTATTCCTCCTCAAAAACCTACACAAGCCCCTACACATAATAACAAACCATTTTCAACTTATTATGAAGCACATGAACATAGACAAAGTGATCATAGACAAAGTGATAAAGAATAATCAGTAAACATAAATAGTTATACATGCCTTTTGTTGATCATACATAAAACACCACCTAGTATCACCAATATCTTCAATAAGTAGCTTCATGAACCAGCTCCAAGATTCCCTAGATTCAGTCTCTACAACCCCAAAAGCAATAGGCATATACTGATCATTTACATCCCTCCCAACATCAATCAGTAGAGTTCCACAATATTTGTTTTTTAGGTGACAACCATCTAATCCTATGAATGGTCTACATACCTAATTCAATGCCTTTTTTGTCCCATCAAAACACATGTAACGATTTTTGAATCTTGGTTGTAACTCAGGTCATAGTCTAGAAATATTTAACTTGAATGTATTACCTTTAGAAGCCCCCCTTAATTCAGCATCGTATGACCATAACATATTATATTTCTTGCTTGAATCTCCTTCAACAACTTGTCTTACCAACTGTCTAGCTTTGAAATATCTGCAACCAATGATCTCAGTAAAAAATCACAGTCTTACACCTGCTACAACTTTATTTAACTTCACCTTAGAATAGTTCAATAACTTGTCTACTATCATCTTAGCAACCCATTCATCCTTGACATTCTTATTGAAGAAGTTTCTACCACACTTGTGTTTGTGAAACAAAGTTTTGATCTTAAATGTTATAGTTTGTAAAACTCTGCTGCATAGTATAGTATAGTCACAAGGCTTCTCGTGCTTACAAACAACCCTACACCTATTGGCATCATTTTTTGAAAATGTTGCCTCCCTACCAATCAAAACATTGTGTTCCATTATAGACTTTTTAAATTGCTTCAAAGATGACAATTCCATACCACCTTGAATTTTAAATTTGTTATAAGTGTTTCCTCTTCATTGAACTTAACCACTGCAGGTCTGTCATCACAACTATCTTCATCATCCCCACTGTCAATCTCATATGTCATATAATATTCTTCTATAACATGTTTCCTATTCATCTCTTTTATGATAAACCTAGGGTTGGTTGGTTGACTTTTATCAATACCATTAACATTCTCATTTCTAGACACACCTTCAAAGTTAAATCCTTCTTTAACGTTTTCATAAGAATCGTGCATTCTCTCTTTTTCACTATCTACAAAGTGTATACCATCCATAGAGTCTTCACTTGATTCACTCTCATCACCACTATCTTTATCACCACTTTCATGTCACTTTTGTCTTTCTATAAGCCTCTTAATATAGTTCAACTCATATGTTGTAGGTTTGGGCTCGGTATAAATTTCAAATTCACAATGATTGTTCCCAGCAAACAAAGATAACAAGCATGCATCCTCATCATTTCTAAATGTCTTAAGATATTTTTCCAAAGAACCATTTCCATGCTTGTTGGAGCGGTGTAGCGGTAAGCAACAAAAGTTTTAGAAATATTTATCCGGGAATTTATCGTGTCCACAGATGTTGGTTATTGAATTGTCATTCGATAAATCATTTGTTAATGAGTTTGGGGATTAAATGAGTTTGTTTGTAAGGAAAGAGTAAAAACTATTGACAAGAAAATAAATACATTAAATAGAAAGGAGAAACCTAACAGGCAAGAATTTACACTACTCGTCACAAACTGAAATCTATTGTTCAGTTGTACTCAATCTACTGTACTCGTCAAGATCATCACGGACACCACGAGATGTACCCACAACAAAGGTTATGTATAATGCCAAGTCGTGAGACCAACCGTATTACTCTATCGGCAATGTCTTGCGCGCTACAACAACACGGAGGCATTAAACTTTAGCACCCAAAGTGAATATTAGCTCTAAATCTATCTCTAGAATATAGAAACTAATAGATATCCATCCTTAATCAAGATTTGTGAGGTATATGTCTATAACAATCCAAATCCAAACATAAAGCAAAATGATCAAAGAAGACATCAAGATTGATTTACAAAGCAAGCTTTATACAACACCATGATCAACAAATATACATATGTTCAAAGTAAATATACAAACATACCCAACAAATAGAGAAATGCATAGAGAAGAAATGGAGAAAAACCAAACATCTCACAGATTGTCAACGCCGATTGATGAGAACTCTGACTCCGGATCATCAAGATGCAAGCTTCAATGTTGTTTTATAGCTTTTCAAGACCAAAATTGGAGGTTTGATGAATTTGGGCCAAAAATACCCAAAACATCACCTAAAAAATGTGTTTTTGGCCCAAAATTCGCATTTTTTACTGTCCAGGATCGCCCAGCAACCAAAACGCATCGCCCGACGACAACTGACAGTAAATTGAAAAACCAGCATAATATTTTACACTGTTTAGGCCATAACTTTTGAACAGTAACTCTGATTCGCGCCTGGTTCGAAGCGTTGGAAAGCTTATTCAATGATCTGTATAACAATGACAAAATATAAACCAAATCAATGATTTTTATTCTTTGATTTTGAGCCTTATTCGTTGACGAGTTGCTCAAAATTGCGCGTTTGAAGCCGTGTCTTTGACACTTTATTGCTCATGCTCCAAATACGCATCAATACCTACAAAATAAATGGAAAAACATCAAATGATACCCTATGTACACAAAAACATAAATAAACACAAACTAAATGTATTTACACAAAAGTCGGGTTTATTCAACGATATTAATAATAAAAAGTCGATAAGTGCAACAAAAAGTATATACAAAAATAGCTATAATTTGCACTTATCAAACTCTCCTCAACTTGAACTATTGTTTGTCTTCAAACAAAGTCAAATAAAATAAAGAGTAAATAATGATAAATCAAAGAATCACGAATCAACAGCTTTTGAAAACGGAAAACAAATGCAATGGTTCAATGAAAAACAGTACACAAAAAGAAATATACTTATCACTAAACTACAAAGATAACATAAACATGAAATAAATGCTAAATACAAAGAATATGCCAAATATTCTAAAATAATACTTGGTCACAAATGAATCACACCTAGAAAACATAATCATCGGTAGATGAAAAACACACAAAAATGGGGGTATTTTCACTCATCCAACAATCTTGCAAACAATAGACTAAATTATGCATTCATCCAAAAATTTACATTGAAAATATAAAAGCAAGAATCTGAAGGGCTTTTCAAGGTTGTAATATGGCTTGGTTAACAAACAAGTGATAAGTCCTAAAGCTAATCGAAACAAAAACTTGCCTAAACCTAAGGGAGTAATTACTTCCACAAAGTTTCAAATAATAGAATTTCAATCAAAATTCTTCTTCATCACAAGTTTCACACCAACACACATCACTTATTAACACAATATTATTCCATACTCTTTTTGTTTTTATTTTTTCAATGATTTTTCAATTTTTCTCCTTTCTTTTTGTATCACTTTTTTTTCATTTCTTTTCTCATTTTTTTTCTTTTCAACCTCATAGCAATCAACCAATAAATACACAATCATTTTTCTCCCCAACTTGAATTCAACCATACATTAAAGTGAATACTCCCTGCTTTCTAAGGCAATGTAAAAATTCAAACCAAAACAATGGTTGAGGGTTCAAGAAAACAACAAATCAACATCCATGCAAAAAGGGAAACTAAACACTTAAAGACAAGCATTTAGAAAATACAACATGGATAGTGACAAAAGGCTCAAAGGGGTTACAAATGACCACACACTCACAAGGTGAATTGACTTATTTATCCAAGGTAGTTGTGCTCAAAATGAAACAAAAAATGTCTTGATCGTGTTCAAGATTTCATACAATCAACACAAACAAAAGATTAAGCATACTAAAATCCAATTAAAACAAGAATTGTGGTCTCCAGCATATGTGAACAATGGAAAGCTACCTCATAAAAAAGGTAGGAACTAAAGTGATTCACAAATGAACAAGTATACAAAATAATGAATGACATAAAAATTGTAAAAAGTCTAAGTATCATGAATATACTAAAGTATAGAAAGTGATAAACACATACCTCGAACGTGTACAAAACTTTAACAAAATCATTATCACGCATTCACAAGTCGAAACAATCAAAACTTGACAAATCACCTCAATATTCTACAAGTTACCGAACCAAAACTTGAGTGTAAACGACAATAAAAGAATTAGAAAAATAATACTCCTGCAAAATTTCAATGTACAAAATTTACAATATATACAACAAACAAAACTCCTCAAGCTAAACACGACAAGCTTTCAAAAAACACAAATTGACATAACAAAAAAATACAAATAACGATATGAAAACTGGGTGAAAATGAATTAACAAGTTGAAAAGTGAAGATTTAAAATTCAGAATATTTCCTTATTTCAACTTGTTAAAGCACAAATCACCACACACATAAACAAATACAAATAAATATGCTTGTTTTACGTCGTAAGCTCGACGCCAGCTAGTAACATTCTCTCATCATGCCATGGTATTGTCACACCGCACAAACCTAAAGAAAGTGTCCTAACAATCACACAACAAACGTTACGAAAACGAGACAATTCACAATAATACATGAAAACACATATATGCACAAATATCATATACAAGTTAATGTGCAATTTCTATACAACATATACATTAATTACAAAACTCAAAAATAAAAGAATTATCGCAATGCGAAAACAATAGAACCAATCCTCGACAACAACACCATTTTGTTGGAGCGGTGTAACGGCAAGCAACAAAAATTTTGGAAATATTTATCCGGGAATTTTTCGTTACATGAAAACACATATATTCACAAATATCATATACAAGTTAATGTGCAATTTCTATACAACATATACATTAATTAAAAAACTCAAAAATAAAAGAATTATCGCAATGCGAAAACAATAGAAC